CACCAGGTCACTGTCCAAAGGATTGAACTAGAAGTATGGACTCTTTCTTCCGGCACAGGCTCAGAGACGCTCAGGAAACCCGTTGTCATCGGTGAAGAGGTTGGCGGAGTCCATCGCATTTCTTGCCTTCTGCAGCGCTGCCTCCAACAAATCTAGGTCTTTGTGACAACATGTGCACTCGAAAAGAGGTCCCACAAACTAGGAGGATATTCAAGGAACCCCTGCGCCACTTTTAGACAATCTTGGTAAAGTGAACATCCCTTCTCTGGCCTTTTCGCCATTTTCGAGTGTCTTTGACAACGCTGCTCTCCGATCTCATGGAAATCAGGGTTTCCTGAGCCGTTCTGGGAGCACCCTTTAGCTACTCCTGGACAATCTTCGCTAGCTGTTCGATTTAGCACTGACCGTGGTGAATTAAGACCCAGGCCGTCGCTTTTGATTTTCTCTTCGGTCCCTCCGAGAGGCGGCCTCAAAGTCCCCGGCTAGAAAGATCTCGAGAAATGATTGCAGAATTACGACAGCGTGATGGCTTCACTTTTTCGAGGGTGGGGTGGGGTGGGAAAGCAAAATGACCGTGGTGATTGGACGGTAGCATCGCAGTGAATCAAGTGAAAACAGCAACACAGTACAGTAAGCATGAAGGGTGTCTCAATTTGCCTCCATAATTCTGCTTCATTCTGTACATTTAACAATACTATTACTTTCAATTAGAGGACTAAACTCGTAAAAGAAGCTTAAAAAACAAGTACATAGCGTTCATTGACAGTATGTACAATGCATATCTGAGGGTAGTGCGAGGCGTGGCGATGACTCTCCTCTCTACATGCATCTCTGGCTCTCTTCCGCGTGGACCCTCGCAACCGCCGCAGCCACACTTCGCACTGCACTCAGATATGCCTTGTTCTTCGCTTCTATAGTGAACATTTATAAAGAAATAGGCGCTTGCAAGCGTTCAGCCGTAATCATGAGTTCAAAAGAACCATTGCTTAACAAGAAACAGTAAAAGTTCAAAACTTCCTATTAACATTCGAAAAAAATCGTTCATACATGGCGGCAGTAAGAATTTCTTTTTGCACATATTTAAATGGTCGTCGTTAAAAAATATCCCAGATTCCTAGGGTAAAGCTATTTCAAGTTGGTCTTCGTACGACCCCTGAATGTCTCCATGGTCTCGTTGACACCGAAATATCGTCCAAGTGCTGTCTGAGCGTTCGTTGGTAGGAACCTGAAATTTGATACGATTTTTAATGACCATTTGATCCAATTAATCCAATCTCTATTTATTTGTTCTGTTATTATAGCAAGGCGATGAATGTTACATAGGGATGGGGGGGAAGGGAAGAAGGGGGGCCAATCATTGAAGATGCATTTTTCTGGTAGGTATTCATCCTATACAGCGATTTGCTGTTAAAGAGAAGGCATTCCCTCCGTGGTGAGACCGCGAAGGCGGTGTTCAAAGAGACGTCACGAGCGCGGCACTCGCACCAAGTAGCTGATTCGGGGGTCGGGAAGTGCCGAATTAAGTTGAGTGGGCAAGCTAGGAAGCTATTTATTATGGCTGATTTTATGGCGTTTATTTTAATGGATCGTAAGTCGCTACACGCGACGTATGTTGAGTCGTTTTCTGTTATGTAGCCGCAGTCTACTTGGCACCGGGGTAGAGAAGCCTGATCAGCTGACTATCACCCCATCGGAAGCAGAAACGACGCCTACTGCACCTAAATCATCTGCAGTAGCAAATTAAGCTACAAACTCCTACTAAACGCTATCGACACAAGTGCCCAGGAATTAGTAGCTGCGATGACATTTCAGTCTTTTTAAGAGAAGAGCCTTCGTTGAGCCAACTTCTTGACTTCAAGTTTCCCGTGACCAGTCGAAAATCGTTTACAGCTAGCTCCGTATGCTATCTGTGCCATATGGGCTTGATGAGGCAGGAGTCAGATGGACAGGAATCGCAACTTGTCGCGTCGTCGCGCGCGGCTTACCGTGAAGCGGTGCGAGTGATGTGCGTCAGTTTGTCGTTAGATGCAGCGAAACCCCTGTGAATTCAAGAGTATACATGAGTCCAAGAAGGACGACATCGAATTTTCCCATCCTCTTTCTCTCAGATTCGAATGGTCTGGCAGGACAACTCGTCTGTCGGACGCGGCATCGCTCGCCACGCCCACCACATGTATGTCCGAGAAGTATCCTAACCCTCTCCCTGTTTTTGAGGGAGCGTTAGACTTCGTGACAGCAGCGCTATCCGGTCGCGCTGCGATCCGACATGCTTTCAGCTGCATTGCGAGACCGCGTCAATACCGCGATCGCGAAGCGCTGCTGTCGGGAAGTCTGAACGCTACCTTAACCGCCACAGGGATTCGGCAAAATGGTTCAGTCAAGACGCAGGCTTCTTTGTCTTTTATGCTGCGGCCTCCCAATCATGCCACCACAACGCTTTTTAAAGAATCTTTGATGGAATCATTTATTAGGCATGCCACAACAGTATTGGCACTTATAATGGGTTGCAGTCTTTTGAGGGAAGCCAATTGAAAACATAGCGAAGGGTAAGAAAATAAAGGCTCTCTTGTGAAACAGAATCCGTTCATTGAATGCCGCAAGGTACTAAAGCTCGCGAAAAACAGTTCCCGTTGAGGGTAGGGAGAAGCTTGGGGAAGGATGAGGTAACAACTGGCTATGCACTGATATGACCTAAAAACAACGTTCGAGATTGCAGGGTGGGCGGAGCCAGGAAACGACCATGCCGTCGCGCCCTTCTATTCCTGCCCTCTTCACCTTCATACAAAGCGGGAACAGGAGAGGGGCAAGACGGCGTTTCCTGGCTTTGCCCACCCCGCAGTTTCCCAACAGTGTCTTGAAACAACCTAAAACAAATCACTGCTTTTTCACTCGACCGGTAAATGTGTCCATCAATTGGTTGCCGCCTAGAAAATCTCTGAACTCTGCCAAAACGCTCGTCGGTAGCAAACTGGAAAGAATCAGCTTACGAAGAATTATCGAGCCTTCTAGTCTCCATTGAACTTTGGAATTCACGTCAGCATCTCCACATTAACATGTATTTGAAACTGTCAATAAATATATTTGCCAGCCAAACCAGGGCTAGCTATACTACTGGACTACTATTGATTGCTAGATGATGCGAAGAAACATCGCGCATGCGACAGCCCATCCAACACCATAGTCATGTTCATACTCTTCTCCCTTCCTTCCTTCCTTCGTATTGACAGGAAGGGCGCAAAACATTTCACCCATGCCCATGCTGAACCCCGGTCGAAATGAGCCGACTTCTTTGGGCAAGAAGAGGGTTTTGCACAAGGGTGATCCCAGTTTTGCCCGAAGAAATCTTTTGAACCCCTTCCCCCTCCTTAGGTTAGCTTTTTGGCGCCCTAGAACTAATCAAAACGTAATTCTCACCCGCTAAAGAACAAAACAATGTAGTTGAAACGAGGTATGCAGATGAGTTCCTTGCCAGTGAGAACAGCTTCCATTATGCAGTCAACCACATATTCCGGTTGTAAAACGGGCAGCAGTGTTGGTGACCTGAAGGGAATAACGCTTCTAATTAGAGATCATCCAGCGAGAAAACCTGTGAAACAAACTTTGTCTGGACACCGTCGAACATTCCAGTATCGATGTAGTACGGGCAGACGAGGGTCGTGTTCACGCCATTCTTGCCAAGGGAGCTCAGCTCAGCTGTCAGGGACTCGTGGAAACCAATAGCGCCGTGCTTCGATGCACAGTAATCCACCTGCAAAGCTAGACGGTGACCATGACTTCATTCTGGATTATCGTCAAAAGTGCGAGGGAAGATGGTCGAACTATATATTTTCTCCCGTCCTCTGCTCCTCAACCAACAGTTGGAGTCACGACGTCGAACGCTGAGCAATCCCCTAGGTGTGGTGGGCGTTAAAGGCAACTGCCTTCCCGGCGCGCTAAAAAAAGTTACTTTCCGCCTTGGTAAACTTTCATTGGTTTTTTCGTCTTCACATCCACCCTGCTATAACCCATCTTTACCATATAGCCTACTACGACAAGTCTGAACTTTAAATTGTTTGGGGGGGTTACCTCCTCTTCTCCCCCTTGGCTTCCAGCGGTGTGGACTGCGAAAACCTTGGAAGTTTCGAAAGAGTAGTAGAGTGCGTAGAGAGCCAGGGCCTAACTCTGTGAGATGGGAAGGCCCATGCGGAAAGGCAGGGCGGAACGGCGGCGGCAGGCGACACTGGTTTCTAAAACCCTGGAAGTTTCGGAAAGAGTTAGTTAGTCGCATCGCTGTTAGTCGCATCATGGACTTCCTGACCGTTACCAGCCCAATCTATCTTCTGGTTTTTCTCGCCATACCTATTTTCAGAAACAAAGGCTTATTCCATGCGGAAGAGTTCTGTATAACTGCGAGGTTGACAAGGCTGCGGAAGTAGTAGGAGATACATATTATAGTCTTGTTCGCTGCGGATGTTAGGGCGTGTCAGGGGGAGGGGCTGGGTCCGATAAGGCGCCAGATCGTTCTCCTGCACTTTCGACTGGTGGAAAACGTACCCTGGCACGCCCCGCATCCGCGGTGAGCAAGACTATAGAAAGACGACCCGAAACGGAACTGATTGAAAAAAACGGGTGCTGATTAAGGTTGTTTCTTAGGGGCGACCTTGAGTGAGAGGTAGCTTTACCGATAAGAACATGCCATAGAAACAGGCAACTCACCAATCCAGATACTCCGACTTTTCCGGCCATGGACGCGATTGTCACGATGTGACCGTGATTAGCTTCCATCATTCCTGGTACGAATGATTTCGTGGTCTGAAATAAATAAATTACTTTAATTTTCTACTCAAAAACTCCCCTCAATTTTTTTCTTGAATTAAGGACTTACGTAGAATAGAGCGTGAGTGTTTACAGCCATTGTCAGCTCCATTAACTCATCTGGGCAATCGAAGATCTTTTTGCCTGGAATGTCCAAAGT